AGAACAAAGTGGAAGGGAGCACATGGACTCTGGTGAACTGTGGGTACGTTGGTGGTAAGTAGGTGCAGTGTGGTACCACCACCAGAGGGGGGAGATCGTAAACCTCTAAATCATATGGTGTTGTTAAACCAATGTTGCCTCAATAATAATAATAAAGAGCCCTCAGGAACTTCAAGATGTTCATGTGCCCCCAGGACCAGGTGCAGTCAGAGCCAGGCCCTGAGGGAGCTCAGAGTTAGGTCACCCCTGGATGCTAAGGGAGGGGGGGCTCCTCCTGGTAGGGGCTGCCTATTACAGGGCCCAGGACTCCTGCATATCGGAGGGGCGGGAGCCAGTCTCCACAGTCTCAGCACCAGGTCCCCCAGAGACTGGGTCATCCAGGTCCTAGAGGCTTCCTCCTGTTGTGTCCTGGCTTCCGCGACTTGGGGGATCATACCAGCTTGGGTGGCACTCTGCTATGTTCTATACAGGCCCTGGCCAGCAGCCCATGAAAAGATGTTCAAGGCACCTTCCAGTTGGTTCTCTCGGCTCTCAGCAGAGCCCGCCTGCAGGGCTTCTGGCCTTCTGTGAGTGGGGTTGAGGGACTCGGGGAGCTGTAACATTTTCAGGGGAAATTGGAGGCTCAAAGCCTCTTCCTTTTCCACATCACCTACATCCAGGTCATCTCAGCGGCCAGCTGCAGCTGAGCTGTTTCTGGCCACATCCTGTGCTGTGGCTCGAATCTACATGCTGGGCAGCTTGAGGCTTGTCAGCAGGGATCTGGGAGTGGGGGGCGCTTGACTATGTGTCAGTGCAGGCACCAGTACAGTGACAGGGAACAAATGACTATAGAGTGTACCTATAGAGTGTTTGTGGAGCATGATGCTGGCATCCAACGTACAGTCATGTCATTGGATTCTCATGGCCTTTCTGCCAGGTGTGCAGAATGACGCGTGCGCCCCTCCCCCCATTTGACAGGTGAGAAACTGAGGTGTAGAGATGTGGCCTAGGGCAACACCTGGAAAAGCCTGTTTCATATTTCTTACATGAAAGATCTGGAGGTGCTCACTTGAAGGAGTTGTTAACTCAAGGAATTGGTGGAAGGGTTTTTATGGACAAGAAAGGAAAGGCTTGTTCTGTACTGTGACCCAGAGCAGAACAAGGAGGTTTGGAACATTCCTGAACTAATCTGAGGCATTTCCCAGAAGCCCTGCCTCTCAGAGCAGGTTAGCAATGGAATGGTTGCCAGGGGGGATCTTAGAAGGCCCAGTAACATGTGCCTCCTGTCCTGTGCCCACGGCTTCTCTGGGAGGAGAGTCCCTGGGCTGTGGAAGGGGCCTGTTCCTGTTTGGCAACCTAGAGAGTTGTCAGCATCTTGGTCAGGGGAAGCTGACATCCTGCAGAGTCCCAAGAGTCCTGGAAGAAGACTGTTTTATATCTCACATTACTAAGGGGAGGCCTCTGAGGGTTCCAACAACTGCTGAGGGGTGGGGCATGCCAGGCTGGAGCAGTGTGTGCGAGGTGGGAGGAGGTATGAAGAACACGGATTCTGGAGACAGCCCACCTAGCTTTGTGTTCTAGCTCCGACTCTCCCTAGCTGTGTGGCCTTGGGAAAATCATACAGCCACTCTGCATTGAAAATCCAATCCAGGGGCACTGGATGATAATTTTGATGAGGAGCAGTGTATTAAAATGCATCCCCACAGACTTCTTGTTAATTGCAGGGGAGGAGGGAAAAACAGTAATTATACAATGAAGAAAACAGGTATCAGGTAAAATACCTGAATGGGTGATGAAAAGTAGCATGACTTATGAGGGTCCCACGGATCCCGTGTATCTCCAGATGTGACCCCAAGGGAATATGCCAGTCTTTCAGCTGAGGGCGCATAATCCGGATTTATTCATGAGGAAATACTAGGCAGACACAAAATGAGGAATTCTTTTTAATCAAAAGCCAGGGATGATGGCAGTGATCATCTTCCAAAATGTCAGTGTTATAAAAGATATGAAAGGCACCCCAAGAAATGCAACCACAAAATGCAATACCTGACCCTGCTGGCTCCTGTAGTGGAGGAGGGAGGTGCTAGATGGAACACTTAGGTAGGAATTGGTGGCTACCTAAGCCTGAAAGAACTGAATGATGAAAAAAATCAGGGGTTACAAATTAAAAGAGGCACAGGGAACCCCTTGAGAGTTGTTGAAATGTTTTATAGCGAGATCTGGATGGCTGGCATAAGCGTGTATACTTCTATGGAAACACGCTGTATGCCTGCCAGCACTTGAAACATTTTCCTGTATGTAAATCTCAAAAACAAGTTAGCGGTGTTCAGTGAAAAAGAAGGAGAATGAGATCTACAGCACAGAACCATTTATCTACATTAAGATATATGGATAGTGTGTGCCAACGTGACTCTCATTTAAAGACAAACCATGACAAAAATAAAAACCTGGGGGCCTCCCCGGTGGCGCAGCGGTTGAGCGCTGGGTTGCGAAGCTGCCCGCAGCCTCTGCAACACTGGTTCGATCCCCGGCTGCTCCCCGGCCACTGGAGGAGGGTCCCACATGGCGCGCAGACCTCTCCTGCCGCCCGCTGCTCCCCTCAGCAGTGTACTTTGGTCCTTCTGCCTGCTCTGCTCCCCGCTCTGGCTCTGGTGAATTCTCTCACCCTCCTGCGCTTCTGACTGTACCCAGCGCATGTATAAACAAAAAAACAAACAAATGAATAAATAAATAAATAAACAAATAAATAAATAAATAAATAAATAAATAAATAAAACATGCCTAAAAAAAAAATAAAACCCCCCCAACTCCAAAAGCCCATTGCATAGTGCCAGGAGAAGACAGGGCCTGGCCATTACTGTGGGCCTGAGGTGTGCAGGCGCCGGAGGGGTGAGGCCCCTGGCCCTGCCCTGGGCTAGGGTGGGGGACACATGGAATCTGGGCTGCTCAGAGTTGGATGAGGGCCGATGAATGTGGCCAGAGCTTCTGCCTGCACAGGCCTTGTGTTCTGGGCAGCCCAGCTCTGGGCCTGTTTGTCACATTAGTTCCTTGTTATCAGCTGCCTACTGTGGGTCCAGCCTCTCTTCTGAATGCTTTGTATTGACTCCTCTGATCCTACAATAACTCATTGGACAGGTACTTTTGTTACCCCCATTTCACAGATGAGGAAAATGAGTCACAGAAAATGTGGTTAAATTGCCCAAGAATACACAGCTAGAAAATGGTAGAGCTGGGATTTGAGCTCAGATGATCTGAATCACTCTCTGAGCCACAGTATTCATCCTCCTAGTGACTCCCACATATGGTGGTCCAAAGTGGGGAACAGAAAAACCGCTTCTCCCATAAGGCTCCCAGAAAAACAGCTTCTCCCATAAGGCTCCCTAGGCTCAGACAGAGGGTCTGGCTCCCTGGGCTGAGAGGTGCTATGTTCCTTAGTGTTCCAATCCACCTGGGGGACAGGGCCCTCAGGATTTGGGCCTGGAGGTTTCTAGATGCCATTGATAAGCATCCAGTCCCTCCCCTCCCCACTCTCTGAACCCTACTCCTGTGCTTTTGCCCTCTCCAGCCACAATGCATTCCCTCCCCATCATTCAAACTCTTTCCATCCTTCCAGTACTAACAGCAGACACCTCTGCCCAGCCTGACTACTCCCCTGAACTCTTGTAATCACTGTGAGAATTTGAATTCCAGTCTGGGCTCAGCTAATTCTGATTGCGGCCTTAAGCAAGTTACCTAACTTCTCTGGACTTCAGTTTTTTTGTAATATCTAGTATTCACTGAATACATGGATTCGCTCATTTATCCTAATGCAGCAGGTGAGATCTATACTGTAAAATTGTTATTATAGTGATTTGCATTTGGCTCACACCCATTACATGGCCTGCCTGGGGCTTCAGCCAAAGACTGATCCTAAAGGTGAGGTGTGAGGAATCATGAAAGGTTATCAAGTGTTAATGAAACTACTGCCTTGTCCAGGTATTTTTAAAATGTTGAGGTAAAACCCACAGAACATAAAATGAACCATTTTAATCGCATACAGGTCAGTGCCCTTAGTACATTCCTGGTGTTCTGCTACCGTCCCTTCTATCTACTTTCTTTTTTTTTTTTTTTTTTTTTAAAGTTTTTTTTTTTTTTTTTTTTAGAGGCATGTTTTTATTTATTTGTTTGTTTGTTTGTTCGTTCGTTTTGTTTATACATGCACTGGGTACAGTCAGAAGCGCGGGAGGGTGAGAGAATTCACCAGAGCCAGAGTGGGGAGCAGAGCAGGCAGAAAGACCGAAGTACACTGCTGAGGGGAGCAGCGGGCGGCAGGAGAGGTCTGCGCGCCATGTGGGACCCTCCTTCGGTGGCCGAGGAGCAGCCGGGGATCGAACCAGCGCTTCAGAGGTCGCCAGCAGCTTTGCAACCCAGCGCTCAACCGCTGCGCCACCGGGGAGGCCCCCTTCTATCTACTTTCAAAGTACTTTCAACACCCCAAAGGAGATCCTGTGCTCCCTCAGCTCACTCTCCAATCCCCTCCCCCAGCCCATGGCAGCCCCTTACCTACCTTCTGTCTCTGGATTTACCTGTTCTGCACATTTCATGTAAATGAAATCACTCACTATGTGACCTTTCGTATCTGATGTTTCATTCAACACAATGTTTTTGAGGTTCATCCACACAGTAGGGGGTTTTGTTCCTTTTCATGCTGAATAAGATTCCATTGTTTGACTTTACCACATTGTTAATCATCTGCTGGTGTCTCACAGTTTGGCTCTTGGGAATCGTGCTGCCATGTGTACAAGTGTCTGAGTACCTGTTTGCATTGCTTTCAGTTCTACCCAGGATTGGAATTGCTGGGATAAATGTCTAACTTTATTTTTTAGGGTGCTTCCCTGCATGTGCTTATAATGCCCGTTGGGCCACCACGAGTGATGGGGAGCCCCTCCCCACCTGTGCTCTGGCCTCCTGGGCAGAAATGTGTCAGCATCTCCTCTGCCTGCTTGGCTGCCAGCGCCCTAACCTGCCCTCTCTCCCCACAGATGTGCCCGTGGAGAAGCTGGCCGCCATGTCCTCCTTACGCAGAGTCAACCTCCGCTTCAATCCACTGAGCGCCGAGGTGCGCGTCATTGCCCCACCGCTCATCAAGTTTGACATGCTCATGTCTCCGGAGGGTGCGCGGCCTCCCCCACCTTAGGCCTGCCTCCTCATGCCCACCCAGCAGGGGACAGAGGCCACCTGGCACCCTGAGGGGAGGGACTCCCACAGGCCATGGGAGGCCAAGCTTGGGTATGGAGGTGGGTGGGCCAAACAGCTGGAGGTGGGAAGGTGTGCAGCCGGCCCAGGATAGATGCTTAGAACAGTAGTGGGCTCTGCAGTGCCCAGAGGAGGAGGTGAAGTGCCAGCTGGGGCTCAGACTGGGCCCTCGAAGCTTTTGTGCAAACTTGGGCAGACCCCCGTTGCCTCTGAGCCTTGTTTTTTGGGAAAAAAGGGTAGTGAGGGGCCTGTGCCTCCTTTGGGCTATTGGATGCTTTTTTGGCAATACCTGCCTCCACATCACCATCAAGTCACGGACCTGGAGGAGCCCACAGAGGAGCATTGTGGAGCATTTTCTGGGCCTCATTTGTAGTGCTGAGAACCAGTCGCTGCTCTGGGAGGAAGAGAAGACAATCTTCATCCATTTATTGCTTCCTGAAAACTGACCCAGATGAGGCCCTTCGCGGGGCTCCTCAGTCTGGGAGGTTGTTGAATGGGCAGGAGCCTGAACCAAAGTCATGGAGAAACCACAGAGAGCATGGCCCTCACTGCAGCAGGGCTGGAAATGTTTATATAGGAGCTAGCTGCCTCTTGGCTAGGGAGCCACGGAGCAAGTCCAGTCAGCTCTGTCCTTCCCTGAGAATGAGAAATGGATGGGGTAGAAGTTCTGGGACGCCATCCCTCCCTCAGGAGCAACCAGGAGTGCCTGGTCTCAGCCCTTGATCCCTAGGAGAGGGGGCCCTTCTTGAAGCCATTTGCACCTGTGGACCTGGTCCAAAATAACTAGATGGCTACTCCCACTACACTTCCCTTTGGCAGCACCTGACTTCCCTGTCACTGCTTCACCTGGCACAGAAGGCACAGTGGACCATTGAGTTTGTAGCCAGTTACTCCTAGGCCACCACCCAAGGCCCTGATGACCTAGTTATTTCTGAGCCCTCAACCTGCAGTTGAGGGTGTAGCCAGCCAATGGCGTGTCCAACTATCCTGTTTGCTGAGGACTGAGGGGTTTCCAGGGATGTGGGGCTTTCAGCACTAACATGGGGTCAGTACCCAGCAAACAGCTGGTTTCCCTACCAGGAAAGGGCCTGGGGCTCTTGCATCCTGATAATAACTGTGGTTTGGGGAGCCCCTTGAACCCCCTAGGTATCTACCTCCCACCTTCTCCTCATCTATGGGGGCAAGCAGACTCAGAGCTCAGAACTTGGCTCCGTGGGAGACACCTGAGGCCCCAGGGGCAAGCCAGGCCTCCCAAATCCTACATTGAGGCCAGTAGTCACTCTTCACTCCTAGGGTCAAACTGTTCAGAGTTCAGACCACTGCTGTGAGCTGTAGCCCTGTCTCCTAATGCTCCCATTCCCCATCCTCCATCTCCTCATGAGGAACTGAAAGATTGGGCCAGATTTGGCCTGTCACTGAGTGCTAGGTGTCCCAAGGGATGCCTTCTTCACTGCTTATCTCCAAAGCCTGGGTGGGTAAGCTCTGGGAAAAGGGTTTTCAGTGAGGAGGTTGAGACTAGGCCTACAGGGCTTAGCTGTGGACACTGGGGACAGGTGGAGGCTGCAATCTAGGCTGGCCTGGCCCCATCCACCCTGTGTCCTGGAGTGAGGTTTCTCTTTGTCACAGAAGGGGTGTGCTTTTCTGATACATAAAAAGGCTTTGTATGGCCAGAGTCTTGCAACTCAGGGTGCGGTGAGTGGGCCTGCAGCATCGTCATCCATGGGAGCTTGTTAGAAAGGCAGAATCCTGGGCCCCAGCCAGACCTGCATTTTAATAAGATCTCTAGGCAATTTCTACAAGCACTTTATAGTTGGAGAAGCAAGGGTCTAGGGGAGACCCTAGGAATGTACTCAGAATGGAGGGTAAAGTTTCTCTCAGCTGTCCCCTTGCCAATGCCAGGCCTCCAATGAACTCCTCCCCACCTCCCCAAACCAGCCCCAGATCTTTTCAGATCCCCAGCAAAGGGAATGACGCGAAGTCACCAGGAGCTGAGGCTTGCCTTGGCCAGGCCACCTGGCTTCTGCCTCTCTGGTAACCTCTGCATGCTGAGCTGCCTGTGTCCCCAGGTCTTTTGAAGTGGTTGCTTCTGAAAGTTGTTTTCTATTCTGCTTGGAAAATTTTCCCTTGCCTCTCTGGGAAAACGTGGGTAGTCTGAAAAGCCCCCTAATCAGAGCCCACAGAGTGAGTGAGCCCTTAGCTTCAGTCTGCAATAAAAAATGTATTGGTTTCCTCTGCCTGGTTGGTATTCGATTCATTCTCACTGCAGATCTCTGAAGCCTGGGAGAGGAGGGGCTGCCCCATTATTAATACATGAAGTAATGAAAGCCAAACTGGGCTTTTACTGATATTCACAGGTGGGCCGGGCCACTGCCCGGCAGAATTGACACGTGTTCCAAAGCTGTGCTGCCGCCGAGCAGCTGAACGTCAGCCTGGGGCGCCTGCATGCCTGGAAGGGTCCTGCTGCCCCTAATTTTTCCCTTTGTGATGCCAGAAACTATACCCTTAGCAATTCATTTCTCAGGGTCTATGGTTCTCAAAGAGGAGTCTCTGAAACAGCAATGTCAGCAGCACCAAGTACCTGGTTGGACGTGCAGACCCTCAGTCCTACCCCCTGTCTGCAGAACCTGATCCACTGCTTTTAACAAAACTTCCAGGGGTTCAGATACAAACTGGAAACCTCTTCTGGGTTTAAGGTTAAAGTAAATTTTTTGTTTTTTAATATGAAAGGCCAACCTGAGTCTGCTTGAGCTTTAGACCAGACCATTATGTTTTATCAAACAAATGCATACAGAGCTTAGTGGGTGCCACACAATGTCTGAATAACATTACCGATACTCATTCATTTAATCCCTGGTTAAGCCCTGGCTAGCTTTGTGAACTGGGCAGAAGATACCTTTCCCACTGTCGATCCCGTTTCCTGTCTATAAAGTGGAGTGGCTGCAGGGAGAGAACACCCAGGGCTTTTCCAGAATGCATGGGGTACTACTCTGATTCTGGAGGCCCTGTCTCCTGTGGGTGAGTCTGTGCTCAGGCAGCTGCCTACCCCATCCCACGGGTCAGACACAGGACTTTGCCTCCCCGTATCCATTGATGTTGAGACAAAGCTGAAAGACTCTTGTGGAAGTAAGGGTGCGCCCCCCTTCGCCCTGACTGGTCAGAGTGGAGACAGGCACAGTAGTTAGATCTTAGCCCACTTCAGGTGGGGCTTTCAGTGCAAGGGAGGAAGCCTTGATTAAGATTGGATCAAATTCATGATACCATTAGAATTGGACACAGAGACCATTTTGAGGTGAAGAAACTTAAGTTATAAATTCTCTGCAGTACAAGAGTTGAGCAACTTGAAGTTTCTTTAAATGTTCTTTCAGGAAGTTCCCAGACTGTACAATAATAGAATTTACAACTTTTGCTTCCTGGGCAAGTTTCCAAGAACAGCATCATCGTGTTGAAGAACAAACTAAAATAACCAAGTCTTGATAACAGTGAGTGAGCTGTATGGGGCTAAAGGTTAAAAAGAAAAACTTATTGAGGTATAACTGGCATATAGCAGTTTATTAGTTTCAGGTGTACAACATAATTTGATATCTGTATATGTTGTGAAATGATCACCACAGTAAGTCTAATTGGTATCTATTACCAAACACAGGTTTGATTCTCAGTCTCCCCAAAATATCATGTTGGACCCTGGAGTCCTGCTTTGGAGCTGCTCTTTACATGAAATGTTCCTGTTCCTTCCCAGAAAGCCAGCCCTGGGATTAGGAAACCTGTAGGGGAGCACTGGCAATTACCACAGAGCGCCTGGCCAGAGCCCTGGGAGGGGTGCCGGGGCCATGAAGGACAGGCCCTGAGGAAGGCACAACTTGGGGCTGCTGGGGACAAGGCGTGGGCTGGCCAGGCCCGAAGTAGCCACATGCCGTGAATGTGTGTCTCAGGGCCAGGAGGGACGGACTCATCCCTCAGGAGAGAGGCACATCCCAGCTGCGTTATATCCAAGCAAGAGCACTCGTTGAGCTCTGCTGTTGATGGGCACTGGGTAGGAACTTGGTGCTTTCTGTTTGTCATCTGTAGGTGCCCACTCAGTCCACTTGGCCTTGGGCAAGGGGTGGGGAGAATGTCGCTAGGAAGGAGCCACACTGGGGTTTAGGAGGCTAGCTTGGACAGGCTTCACCAACTCACACGTTCCTTCCCTCATTATGTGCCTCTCATTACAGTCCAGACTTGCTGTCCTGATTTATAACTGGGTGCTAACACCACCTTCCCTAATGCATAGGGTTAACAACAGATGATGTAGGTAAGTAACCCCTGCTGAACACTATCACACCCATTTCACACACGAGTGCTTCCTCTCCTCAATGCTTATGCCCACCCTTGTGTGGGCACAGTCTTTAGGGTCCTGACAAGAATCTCACCTCCCTCAGCAATGCAGAGCTGCTTGGCACACATCCCTGGGGCACATCTGGATGCTGATGGGAGATTGTTATGCACAGGGACTAGGGAATCAACAGTTCACCCCATCATCATGGTTCAGGGGTGTGTCTGGCTTCCATCACATGGGAGGACAAGGCACTCAGGCCTTGGCCAAGAGCTGTCTGGGGCCACTCTGCATGTGTACATCTGCGTTCTTCCCAGCTGAGGGGCCTGGCTCCTATCGACTAGAAGCACTTAGGATGTCTTCAAGGTGGACCCTGCAGGACAGCCATGTCGTGCAACCCCAGCAGGGGAGGGTGCATTCACAACTCATTCTTGGTAATTGGCACCACTTACCTGGAAGAAAATGTACATGGGCCCCTGGAGTTGTGCAAAGGGTGGGCTGGATCTCTAAACCATCTGCAAGAGAGTCAATCTACTGGGGTGTTTTAAGGTACACAATCCCAGGCCCACCTGAACCTCAGTAAATCGGACTCAAAGTAGGGCCCACACTTCTGCACTCTTCCTCAGAGTGCCAGAAGCCTGTGTTCACTGCCTGCCGGAGCATGGGCAGTCCCACCCTCTTGCCTGCCAGCCAGCCCGAAGTCCCACCAGTAGGGCTGCATTGCTTTTAATTTAGCGTCACCCTCTCCTGTGATCTTATTCCAACCCTTGACATGATTGTGAAGAAGATTTCTCTAGACAAAGCTGAGAGGTCCTTGCTACTCAAAGTGTGGTCCTCGGGTGAGTAGCATCAACAGCACCTGAGGATGTATCATAACCTCAGAGGCTACATCTCTCCCCAAATCTTCTGAATAAGAATCCGTGCGTTAACAATATCCCCGCATGACTTATGGGTATGTTCAAGTTTGACTGGCATGTTTTGATGACTTTGAGACAAGCCCCCCACCCCCACCCCCCCATGACCCTCTCCCGGTCCCTGTGATAGGCAGTGCCAAAGTATCATTGCAGAAACTAACATCATAGGATAAACGTGTCAAGATTTTATCGATCCTGTTAATGAGGGAAGTGGTAACATAATAAAACTGATTCCAAGAGCATCTTGAAGGAGTGTGGTCCTTAATTGCTGGGTAAGATTGCTGTTACATATAACCCTGATCATTGTCCTACAATAAAGGCAATAAAGAATCAACTTGGGGATTGACTTGCTTATTTTTTACTGGACACAAATTCATAAGTTAACATAAGTAATTTCTCAGAGTCTGTGCCCTTAATTAATGGTAACTAAGAAAACCCAGAGGTAATTCTCATGGGCAAGCCTGTTAAACAGTGCTTCATGCATGCAGTTACCATCTTGGCCTCATCTCCAGGTTTTGGGTAATATGTCTTAATAACAGAGTCCCCTGGGAGGGTGTTAATATTCCTGGGACCGAGTTTATCATCTGCTGTGTGTACTCTTAAAAAATTGGAGTCCCTGAAGCTTGGGGCAAAGGGAAATAACCAGAGGTACAAAAAGGACTGGTGGAGGAAGAGAAAGGCAGCTAAAGTAAAAATATATATGCTTACCAGTTACCCCATTTCTGTGACTATGTTAAGTGCTTTCCGTTTCTTTTCTCAGTGAATCCCCAGAGCATATGAGGAAGCACCTATTTTTATTTTAGTTGCATAGAGGAAGACACAGAGGACTGGAGAAGACAACCTGGCCAAGGTCAGATATTAGTTGGTGGAGCAACCAGGATTCAAGCAGGCCTTTTGCCCAGGCTCCAGGTCTCTCAGAACTGTGTTCAGAGTCTAGGAAATGGTTTACAGAAGACCCCACTAACTCCCAAAGAGCTCCCCACTTTTTCCCAAGAGGCTTTAACACCATCCCCAGGATGTGTTCTTCCTGACCCTGTGGTGACTGACCTTAACCCTTCTTGACCCAGTGCCCACCCCCAGAAGCCTGCAGCCTGCCCAGAGTACAAGGCCCCAGCCAGAGACTTGAGTCCCTCAGTGTGCCCAACAGTCCCAGTGGGGTCTCACCCAATCCCCATTCAAAACTTCTTATACCTGGTTCTCCAGAGGAGAAGGTAGACTACCACCGCGAGAATCTTCTTCTGGTCCCAACCTTTCCCATTTTATAGATGGGAACACTGAGTTCCAGACAGCATGTGACCTGCCCAAGGATGTGCAAGGAGCTGGCGGCATTGCTTAGATGGATGTCCAAGCATCCTGGCTCCTGTCCAGGGTCCTTGCTGGGGTCCTCACTGGATGCCAGTCTTTGTCTGCTTGGTACTTCCAGCCTGCTCACTGGCTGGCTGTGCAGTGGGAGTGAGTCAGCCATTAAAATCTTCACTTGTCATTTACAAATGCAGATAACAGCTTTGACCTCCTTCCTTGGGGAGAGCTCACTAATAAGCATTTTAAAGGAAGTGCTCCTCAGAGCCTGACTGGAAAGAGGGAAAAGCATCTCCTGGCTCTCAGGAGGAGATCCCACTTCGGTCCAGACCTCAGACTCTCTGCATTCCCCTGGTCTCACTCTTCAAGGGGACTTTCCTTCTCCCCCACCCTCCAGCCTTCAAAGAGATGTTACAAAATGCTGGAGTTTGCGTCCCAGAGGTTATATTGTCACAAGGCTAAGGCCCCCTTCCCCTCCCCACAAATTCTGAGGCTTTTCAAAATGGCAGCTATACCAGTGGCCTTCCTTGCTCCAAAGTCCCATGTGCATTTCCAGCCTGGAAGAGATAGACCAGGTTTTCCATTGGAGAGGCTTTGTTTTGTCCCTACCGGAGAGATATCCCACAAGGCACTCTATGGCTTTGTGCCAACCATTCTCCAGAGCACCTACTAACTCTCTCAGGCATCTAAGAAAATACCTCCCTC